ACTGTCCTTGTTTTTGTTGAACAAAACACCAAGCACTCAGGATAGATTTTGAGGGGTTTAAATCATAATTAGTTTCTTACATTCCCCCCCCCCACCCCCCACCTTCCAAATCACTTATACCAGCACTGCATGCCAAGTTAACACAGGAAAAACACAAAGGGCATTTTGTGATAGTAAGCACATCTGGATTCTACATACTCAAGGTGCTGTGACAGTCTCTTTACATCTGCATTTCAATCACTCCTAAGGAAGCGAATAGAGAATACGGAATCAGCACTGCCAATTTTGCTCCCAACAGAGCTCAAACATATGAAGGTACCATTGTGGTTTTGTTTTTTTTAAACTTGGAATCCTATATACTTCAAAATACAATAATGTATTAATTTATACCAAATAGGTCTTTCAAAAGATACACTTTCTACTTAGAAAAACAGCAACTGTTCACAGCACTGAGATATGAATACAAGACAACAGTTTAAATCAACAAATGAAAAAGAAAATATTTCACTGAAACTGGATGTAAACAAAACACAACACAACCAAAAAGCCATGTGAAGTTTCTAAATGAGGAATACAACTTTATATTATTCACAGCATACAGCTATAGTAAGAAGATGTATTCTCTCATTAACATAGTTTTTAAGTATAAACCTCTTGAATTGTTCCAGTAAACACTTAAATAATCTCTTCTAACAAATGCCTTCAAGTTTGCCTTTTCTAGTAGTACCAGTATATCAAATTTGCTACAGTTTTGAGACTGGCAATGAGAATATCAACGACGTAGGCTGTGCCTTGAAATATGTCTGGAGACCACACACGTCCTCATCCTCATTGTTGTGATCTGGGAAACAGCAATATTCTTTCAACATTAGTAATGAAAGAGGTTTGAAGTATTTTTTTCAGAGATGTTTCAACATGGTTTTTATTCCATGTCCAGGGTTATATTTCAAAGTGTCAAGACTGCACTGTCAGTGAGTTCATCATCAGCTTTGTAATTGTGTGTCTAAGCAGTCAAGTCTGTACTTAGAAATAATGCTTATGCAACACTGTATTTTATAGAGAGAGCTTCATTAATTCTGGATCTATGACTAAAAGCAAAAGAAAAAATAAGGCTAAAAAAGCTATTCTAATTGATTTTCAATTTCTAGTAAATGATAGTAAGTTGTTTTATCCAAGAGCTGTACTTGTAGATCCAACCTAGACAAAGAACAGGTTCCAGCTACACCTGCAAGCGTCTTCTGACTCCTTTACAGTGAGATAACTAAGCACAAAGAAGACTAAGCATAGTTTGCAAGACACTTTCAATCCGCCACATCAAATAAAACCTAAAAGCGAAAACATCAGATTTGAAATGATCACTAAAAGCAGGTTTGTAAAGTAATTGTTTGAGAAGTGTGTGCGTGGAAAGGACAAAGAGCAATGGTGTGGCACAGAGCCACAGAGAGAAATCACATGCAATGCAGAAGCGCAAAGACAAAAACAAAGTGAAGATGCCATGAATGGAGATGCTGGGTGCAGTAAGAATAGCTTCAGTGTTTAAACACAATGTTTGTTTAAGCCTCAGCAATCTCAAGTGAACACGCATGCAACAAATACTGAAATCACATCACTGTTACCATCAAAATGATCCTATACACGCTGCGGAAATAGTCTCTATTCTTGTCCTAGAGGTTCAACGTAAAATCCATTATAAGTAATAGCTGCACTAAAGGAGGGTGGCGAACAGAATCATTCAGAAAACAAGGCAGGGACCTACAGTTGTCACCTGTGCTTGAGAGCAGACACATAGCGAAAAGGGGAAGCTGAACTGAACAAAGCCACTCCACTCCAGGCAGACTCCTAGAGCAGCTCCTACCGCATATTAAAGCTGTCATTTTAAACCGGAGCGACCGCTTCGCCCCGGGCTGGGCACGGCCCAAGGCCCTTGTTTAGTGTCTCTCCCGTGCCTGGACGGGGCCCTTCCCCTCTCGGGACCCCGGACCGCCCGGCGGTGTTCGCTGGGGCTCCCGCCGCGACCCCCTCACACAGTGAGAGCGGCGGGTCTCGGGGGGGAAGCTGCAGCGGGCGGGGAGAATTTCAGCCCCTCTCCCCTCCTGCCCCTCGGCCCCGCCGCGGAGGGAGGGAGGCACCGACAGCCCCGTAACTCACCAGCTGCTCGGCGGCGGCGCCTCTTCCCCTTCCGCCATCGCTGTTGACGTGCCCCGCCGCCCGGCCGTAAAGCGCGCTCGGGAGGAGTTTTCCTTTCCCGACGCCGCTCCTTCCCAAGCCTGTCCCCTTTCCCGGCTGCTGTCCCCGCCTCCCCCGCGCTGCCGGGAAGCGAGGGCGCGGGCCGTACGGCGCGGAAGCCTGGCACGGGCGGGGGGCGGTGCGGCGGGAGGGGACGGGCCGGGCCGGGGCGGGGGCAGCCCCTCAGCGCCCCGGAGGCAGGAACATTTCAGTGCTTTCGTTTTGCACAAAGCTGTGATTATTAAGCGCCTTCTCCCAGAGCCTGTGATGTGCCACAGGCTGTACTCGGGGGGAAATCCACGAGTTTTACACAGAGAACCCTGTTCGCCAGGGCTAAAACCCACCTGGCAGTGCCCATGAGCAACCCTGGGCAGGACAACACTAACGCTCCGCCACTCACGTTCCTTACCCACCTGCACCCTCAAAAGGGGAAAACCAAACGGTATTCCTCGATGGAAGTTCAGAAAAACCATTGGAGCGGTTTATACACGGAGTAGCAGTGCCGCCTTATGATCAATTCCAGTCCTTACACTGGTCTGTTTCACTTCCACGGCGTGACTCGGGATGTGCTCCGGTAGGTAACGCCCAGACTTTAAGCGGGACGGCTTCTGTGGGAAAAGACACAGCCTCGCTTAACCTGCAGGCTCCGGCTCCCAAAGAGCCAAGAGCATCCATTCCCAGGTAACACACAACCTCTTCACTCATGCATCTGTGTCTCAGAAACGATTACATGAATAACCTCAATCAAGAAAGTAGGTCTTTTACAGCATTACAACCGGGTTGAGGCAATCACACGGACGTTGTGAGGGAGCGGGTAACACTTTCTAACTCCTTTCCTCTTCTATATTATTCACTTAAAAAAAAAAAAAAAGACAACCCCAAAAAGAAACAAACAAACAAAAGCCCTCACGTTTATTTTAGGAGAACAGGCTGTAAGACGCGCCCAAGGCACGGCTCTCCCCCGGCCCCGGCGCGGCCCCGCGGGCAGTGCGCAGGCGCGGCGGCGCGGGGAGGCGGTGGCGGCGGCGGCATGGGGGACACGCTGGAGGAGCCGTGGTGGGACATTCCAGGTATTCCCTTTCTGGAGCTCGCTCCTCGCCATGGCCTTGGAGCAGTTATACTGAGAGCCAGCCCCCCATCTCCTCTCCGGCCCCGCTTCCTCTTCGTTTTGCTGTTTTTTGTTTTCTTTCTTTCCATTTCCCCCCCTCCCTCCAGCCCCCCGCCTTTCCCTTCTCCGCTTTTAATTTACTTCTGCCAGTTTTCCACTCTCACTCGCTGTTTCTCCCGTGCCTGCTTTTCCCTGCTTGCTACCGGTGGCGGGTTTGCTTGTAGAGCAAAATCTCGGCGGCTAGGTGATGTCTAATCTCTGGCCTCTCAGACCTGGGATAGGCGATGGATAGGCAAAGAAAAATGTAAGTAGTAGCAACAGGAACCCACTCAAGAAAAATGCATTTAAGCGAGGTTTAAAAAGCGGGGCCGGATGAAGGGGAAAACCTCTTGCTTTGAATTCAGAGCTGTTCCCCTAAACCGTATTTTCTTCCAAACCGAGTTTACCTGATGAAAGACTTTTGCATAATGTATTTTCCTCGTGGGTCCCTTCCCACTCAGAGTATTCTGCGATTCTGTATTCATTGCCGTCACCGACGTGAACTTACTTACAGTTCTGAAAGGCCTTGGAAACTGTTAATCCATAGTAGAGCCTTTGGAGGGAAAAATATTTGTGGTGCTTGAAAAGCATCACCCATGTGCTCACTGGAGTGTGTCACATCATCCCTGCCGTGTGTTGCTGTAAAAGGGTAGGAGTTAAACAGCTTCTCTCCAGCCATTGCTCTTTGGAGTGTGCTACTCTAGCTGATTTGTCTCTTTTTTCTGATGCCTATAATACCTGTTTCCTATACTTGTCTTTTTTCAATGTGTCTTGCAACCACAGGCTGTAAAGTGCTTTATCTGTAATGTTGGAATTTAATATGGAAATTTAGATCGAGGCAGCTAAAATGACTTTTGGCTTTATAGTGCCATATTTGATTGATTATTTTTTAAATTTATTTTTAATACAATATTGATAAAAGTTGATAGTTGTTGGGAGTTATCTGCACCTTGGGAAGACTCCAGATCTTTCAGTTCTTGATAATTGTTTCTTATTTCCTGTGAAAAGGTACTTGGAGAATAGTTAGAGAGGAAACAATATAAAAATTGTGTGTATATAATAAAGAGGGGTCATGAGCCCTAATAAGGCTTTTGGGCATTCCATTTTTACTTTTAGTCTCATGTAGGTTCCTTAAGCAGTTCCAGTTCCCATGGTAAAAGCTCTTCATTAGAAATGTTTCTTAAGAGCCTACCTATCAGCACATTCTCCCAGCCACAGGTTTCATTTGGAATAGGTGGTCAGCAGATTATTATAATGTTGGCAGCTTTCCTTTAGAAACTGGATACAGAGCAGGACTTTGATGATAAACTTTGGACATAATGGATAAACCATCTGACTTTGGGATGAGACTGAATAACAGCTCTTCCAGTTGTGTAAAACTCCTTGGGATTTTTGCAATTGCATTTTTGAGCTCCTAATACAATTCAGGTGAGAAGTAACCTCTGGAGGTGTCTAATCCAGCTCTGTATACTTTACTCCCAGAACATGCTTTGAATATGTTACAAGTAATGATGACAGGTGAGGGATGTGCAAACCAGGTACTCTGCTGTCCATAGCCCACCTTGTAAACTTGTTGGCAGGTTCTTTTTATGGAGCCTGTTGTTGGATTGAGACAAACGGTCAGTACAGTAAGAATATCTGTTACTTTTATTTTGTGTAGCTATTTTTCACGTAAAACATGTAAAATCAAAGGTTAATTTGTACTGTATCTTATGGATACTGTAAAATGCATTAAAATCATTTGGCATGAAAGAAGAAATCGGGGTTACAATGTACAATGTAAGCAGCAATACAAGAAAAGTAATGAGCACCTTTTACAGACTTGATCAGTTTTATCTCCATGAAACATCGCTTCATTTTAAAAAAAATATTTACTATTCATCTTCATTTTTTGGCTTGTTTTAAAATAGCATTTCTGCCACAATACTAGATGCACAGGAGAATTTGAAATGTAATCTTTAAACACTGATCTTTTGCCAGATCCTTTATGATTAACCTTAGAATAAATTCTGACCAACAGAACATTCTTCCTAAAAACTCAGCCCTCAAAAGTGCCTTAGGTTTTAGCAACTTGTAGTTAGAAAAGGCTACTTTTAAGATGAGCATGAACATCTTTCATACCCTTCACTTAAAGAGTATGAAAACACAATCTACATATAAATACATATCCTAGTTTATGGACATATAAATAATTCTAAATTTGCTTTTGACCACATCATTGGAAATCGTTATTTTAGAATCCATATTAAAGATTAAAGGTAGTTACTGTCCCTGTGAGACATGAAAGTTTACCCTGCCGCAGGTGGTTTATAGATGTAAAAAAAAAAAACCACAAGACCCAAGAAAAAAACCCTGAAGGGATTATCCATCTGTTTACCTTGTCACATGACACAAACTAAAGAGTCTTGCCCAATAACTTCTTCATCAACCCTTTAACTTTGAGAGGAGAAGTGTGGAGAGAGTGGTTAGGGATTATTCTCTACTTAGCAGTGCAGTGTTGTTTAGTGTTACACATGCCCCATGTCATGCAACTGCAGGACTTCCTTACCTCCCTTTTTTCCAGATCATGTCACAACTCTGTCCAGTCTTTAGTAGGATTTTTATATTGCATTCAGAGTTAGAAGGGAGAAGATAGGGAATAAGGAGGAGTGTTGTACTGGTGAAAGAAACCAAGTTTTTCCTCTTCTCTCCATGAACAGAAAGAGCACTTCTCACAGCGCTATAAATGTCCATATCTTGCCTGTAGCCAGCATGCCACGTCTCCCAAGCAGTTTGAGGGAGAGGGATGTACCTCTATTTATCAGAAATTCTTCCAGTTTCCTCCTTTTATGTTACCACTCCTTGTCTTTCATTCTCCATGCTTTCTTTATCTCCCTTCATCCCATAGAAATGTAATATCCCTGTTCTTCGGTTTTAGATCGTTAAGAGTCTTTGTGGGCCGTGTCCCTCACAGGTAGGAATTAACCATATCATCGCAAGAGAGGAGCAAGAGACAGAAACTCTTGTATGGCAGCAGTACAAATAGGTGAGAAGTATAACATGGGGCCATGGAGGATGATTGGCAGTGTTCTGTGGACTCTAAAGCAAAGGATGCTGTTGTGGGAATTGATTTCTTTTCCCAGAGGTTTTCTTTTCTTTTTGTTGATTGGCTGTAAAGGATGCCAGGTAGCATCAATTTGTGATGTGTGATTTACAGCTACTGAGAAGCTGTTCCTTGCAGTGCATTCAGTGGGAGCACTGGTGCTTGACTGTAGCTGTGTTGGTGGACCTGTATATGGAGAGGTTTGCATCTTTTTTTTTTTCTGGCTCATCAGTGAGCTGCTGTCCCTTCTGATTGAATTTGGTCATGTATTTGAAGATCTCTCTGGTAAGCAGGCCAAGTGGACAACTGCTTTTTGAAATCTGTGTTTCCTCACATTTATATACACTTGGTTTTGCAGGTTGCAGAATGTTTAGCGGTGTGCTTCTGTGAACTGTATTTGGATCTGGACATACATGACATGGAGTCTTGAACTTGGTAGCTGCAGATTTAACGAATAAAACTGGAAGCCTTTCCTTTTTATTATGGAAAAGTAATTTTTTAATGTCTCCATTTTGACACAGGTGTGTCTGGTGTGACACAAGCTGAAATAATTTTTCAGTAGACTGATCTTTCTAAATTTTTTCTTAAGTACTTTTAGAGAACTTCTTGTGAAGCTGTTGAGGGAGGCATAGGTTTCTTACAGGTTTGCAAAAATAGTCACACAGCAGTGCTAACCTGTTGGACTGTCTCAGTGGTTAAGTTAAACTTTCAGATGTGAAATAAAAGGGTTAAATCCGGTAACTGAATGCAGCAAAATCTTTCCTTGCTCCAGCAAAAAGACTGCAGTTCTGGCTATGGCACTGTGATCACCACCAGCTTTTGCTTTACTTAGGAATTAGGATTTGGCAGTTCTTAAAGAAACGCCTATGTGAAAGGAGTTTTCCCAGGAATTATCTGTTGAGCCATTTAGACTGTTGGAATGCACTCTGTTAGGGGAAGAAGAATGAGGGAGACATTAATACCAGAGAAATAAATGAATTTTTACATTCTAAACCAGCAACTCATGTTAGTTGGTATTACACGATTCCAATGGAGGTATTCCTTGCAGTAATAGTATTCTGTTAGTTTTAACTTCCTATTGAACAATGAGAAATTTTCTTGTCAGAGCACCAACTTCTGTTTCTCAGAAAACTGAAAACAGTGGATGTGGAGTCCCTTCTAAAGTTTGGATTTATTAATTTTTTTTGGTGCATTGGCTGAAAGGAAACTTTGAGTGAATTTGAAGTCTTTTAAGAGCAAAAAGGCAAATTCTCTCATGGATGAACTAGAACTGCTTGTTCAAAGAGTTTATTTAAAAACCCCTTCACTAGGAACACAGTTATGTATTTTACTTGAATGTGAGCAGTTGAAAGGAAGGTCAGAATTGTGAAGGAATACAAGAGCAAAATTACACTTCTGTGTAAGTCACAGTTTTCTGTTAAGCTTGATACTAATTTTGATCAGTTCTAAAATACTGTTTAAGTGAGCTGAAATCTGAATGCTGTAGTCCAAATGGTGCAAGTTTATATAGCTAATACAAACAAAATCCATCTTGAGTTTTGCATGTTTTCCTAATACAACATCTGCATGAATTTGAGTGGAGATAATGACGCTAGTTAACTCCTTGACAAGAGAACTGTTTAACTTCAAATCATGCTTTTAAAGTGATGCTTGGCACAACAAGGAGCTCTGCATTTCTCTAAGTTCAGTGTTTTAAATGAGAGTGAATTTCTCCATGCCTCTTTTCATTCTGTCTTTACTACAGAACACAAGATATCCACACTGAAACCCTTCTTGACTAGACCAACTTTGAGAACAAAACGACACCTCTTGCAGCCCCTCTTGAAGTGACTGACCATGTTTTTATAAATCTACTGAGACAAACTTACTCTTTTTATTTATAGAACTTGTCAAAACGGAATTTATAGTAGAAACTTATTTGTGTCTCATGTACTTCTGTACCATGAGTGCCAAAATCTGGAATTGCACCAGAAAAAAGGGGGCAGAGCTTGGTCCCTGCAGATGTGCAGTTACCTTTGGCTCCTAAGAATTTGACTGTCTCCTGATGTCCTGTGATTGGTGGCCATAGATGTGCTGACCATGTGGATAGTTCCAGATTTTTCACCAGTGGAAACAACTGCTGTTGAGATTCAGATTGCTTAATTCCACTTTAATGTCATAGATCGCGGAAAATTATTTACCTTTTCCCTCCACTTTGAAGGCAGGCTTTAGACACAGTCCTTATAATGTGTATCTTTCCAGCAGTGCTGTCTTGGAGCGGTTTGTTGAGGTGTCCAGCAGGAGTTTTGGCAGGTGCTTTGGCTGTGCTGGTGGGCTTTGGTTTGGGGATCCGAGTTGGAACCGACCGACGGAACGCGTTGGTGATCTTGAAATAAACCGAGAAAACAAGTAATGCGTTAGGGAGGAGAAACAAAGAGTGCATTTAGCTTGTTAATGCCTTTTCCAGTTTGTAAATCTGAACCCATTGCTCTTAGAACTGGTTGTCTGAACTTCCTTGATCTGGTTGGTAATGGGAGTGAAGCTTTGTATTTAACTTACCTACTTGATTTCTGAATATCAAAGAATCTAAATGGATTGAAATCTAGACTATAATAAGAAGGGTTTTCTGGCAGTCCTCTGACTAGACTATCAGCCCCAGGAGCTGAGTGAGTGATGCAGTGCAAAGGCTATGAACTGTGTGACTTCTCTGCATGAATAATCAGAGAACTTCCACATGCAGAAGCAAGTCTTGATTCAGTCCTGAGGAGCAGGCAATACCTAGCTCACACTGTTCGGTGAGAGACCATTCTTTGACAGTGACCAGTGTACACAAAATTAATGTATTTCTAAGAGAACTCTCCCTCCAGAATCCATCATAGTCATATTTAATTACAAAGAAATAAAAATACAAGAAAAAGAAAGTCAATATGTGTACTGGAAAGGGGTGAAGAACTGTCAAGGCAAGAAGCTTGTTGGAAAGGTATCTGAAACCAGGATTAAACACACACTACTCATTGAAAAGCTTTTTATATACCTTTTTCAGTTGAGTTCAGGGTAAAAGAATTTCAATGAGGTTTTTTTGTTTTTTTTTTTTTAAAAAGCATGAAACGGAAATGGTGTTCAAATTAAAACAGTAGAAAACAGTGTCCAAACTCTGGTGGATTAAGTACGAATAAGAATGAGCTAGATCAAAGCAAATTTTGGGAAACAACTTCCTAGCAGCCATAAAGGTCTGCCTGGACTTATTAAAAAAAAAAAAAAATCACAATTCAAGAGCCTGCCATTTACCTGTAGCTAATTGCATACGACAGGGGTTCTCTAAAGGGTAAAACTGAGGCAACATCAGATCACTGCATGTGCTCATGGAGGAATTTGTGGAAAATTTGCGCATCACATTTGTACTTACTGGATTACGAGTAAAGAGAAAAAATGAACCTGAGTTTAATTGAAGTTTGAAAACAAAAAGATAAAATAGTATCAATCTCCCAGAACAATGTGTGTGTTTCTAAGAGTTCTGAAGGAGATGACTTTTAAAATTGCAAAATCCTTATTAGTGATGTGCAATCCACTATTAAAATTGTTGGTGATGCCGGAGGAGTGTGATGGCACTTTAGAGTAAAGCTTCAGAAAAGATTCTGAAGTATAACTGCTGGACTGATCAAGATGGCAATAAGAAATAAGATGTTCACCCATATGGTTACTAATTTTGTGATGGGAAAACATCCACATTTCTTGCCGAGGATTGTGTTCAAGTACGTTAGTCAGATATTATTATATGGGTATGTGCTATCAGATTGTCTAATGATGAACAAGTGTTTGTGCAGTCTGTGAATGTTCCCAGGCACTGTAATTGTTAAATTGTCAGCAGCGTTTGATTGTTTGAATAGTCCACAGTGTGGATCTATCTCTGGAACAGTTTGGAGGCATAGATTAAGAGTTAGTCCAGAGGGAGGTTCATTTGGCATAGGTAGTTTGTATCCAGCTAGGCTGCTTTGTAGTTTCAGGAAGTTTCCTGTACTTTGGGTTGACCCATGTCTAAGGGAAAAATCCATTTCAATCTATTAAGATTCTTTGATATTCAGCAGTATCAAAGACATAGGAAAGCCTTTAACTTGCTGTTGCAGGTGTGACCATGTAGTATTATGATTTAAAAAAAAAAAAAAAAAAGACTTGATAGTGGTCTCTAACAAAAGAATCTAGTTTGAGAGCAAAGTTTGTGTTGAAACTGGAAAAAGAAGGAAAATTCTCATGGTTAAAAAGTGGCAAGTGGATAGAAAGCAGAGCAGAGACCTAGTTTTAATAGTATTGTGGAGACAGCATCTAAAGCTCAGACACCTCTGATATTCAACATATTCATAAACTGCATGGAGAGACAGTACTGAAATGATAGCATTTGCATATGGTATAAAAGGGAGCTTATTAGAAGCCGAGCTGATAGTTCATGGTGTTGAGTAACCACGTGATAAAACTGTGTGTCAGTTCAGTGTTAGCAAATGAAAAATAGTGTACATAGGGAAAACTAGTTCCATGTAACAGTAGTGACATCTGTTGTCACTCAGAACACAAGATCTTGGAGTCACTAAATTGTCCTCATTGCTCAGCGACTGGCAGTTATCAAAAAAAAGTAGCAGGCAGTTAGGAATTAATAGGAAAAGAATAGAAGAATACCAAACCTGTCATTTTTTTTAGTGTGTAAGTCCCTACCATGCCTACATTGCGAATGTTTTGCAGAGTTCTGTCAAAACAGCTGAATAGAGAGGAAAAATGCAGAAAATGTGGCAATGTCTTCTGCATGAAGATTGATAACATACACTAGGCCTTTGCAGGTTTGTGAAATAGATCGTGGTGAGAAAAATAAACAGCCGAAATCGAATCATACGGTGAATAGAGAAATTCTGTCTCAGATGCCTGAGAGAGAGGGCATCCACTGAAGGCAGGTTAAAGGTATGTGAGAAGTATTTTCCCTTGTTAATGAGCTGTGGAACTCTTTGGAACGATTTTTGGGTGATGATATGAACTGGTTTGGAGAGAGTTTAGACTGGTTTGTGGCATCCATCAGGGACTGCTGAACACAAAGATGTGATGTGGATTTCAGCTGTGGATGGCTGTAAGTTGTGTCTTAAAGTTTGTAAGCAGTTACTCCTGTTCACTACCAAAGATAAGATATGTAGTCTGAGTAAGACGTGTATCATGTTTTTATTTTCAAAGCCGGAAAGTTTCAAGCTTTTTGTTTGTTTATTTTTTGTTTGTTTAGTGTATTGAGAAAGGAAAGAGTTTGGCTTTGAAAGTGAATAGGAAAAAAGGAGATGCCTTTTTCTTTGCCGTGTTCCTTAAAGATTTTTACCTCTAGGTGGCAGCGAAGTTTTCCTTTTGCACTGCACCACGGCATTTCCACTTAAACCAGACTGAAACTTGTCGTTAAATGCTGAGTAAAAAAAAAAAAAATTAACATGCATTTTCATGATAGTCCTGAATGTTAACATTCGTATGGTTAGTATGCACCCCGAAACGAAAAAGCATTTTGCTTCAATTACAAAGGAAACGTTTTAAGAAAGAAGGGGTTGATGTTGGAGGGGATAATTGTGTTACTGGCATATGTCTTCCTTTCAGAAGAGTTGACCTCTGACTGTGTGGTGTGGCCTGTGTAGATGAGACACAGAACTGAGAATAAAATGTTTGTGTGGGCTATTATTAGCAGGCTATTGTCTAATGTAATTAGAGAGATGACAGAAAACGTGTCTGTTTCCCAACTACAAAAAGAATTAGATTTGCCATAATTTTCTATGTGTATTGAGATGAATAGATAAAAATATTTATGTAGAGTCTTGTGTGCTAAAGTGTGATTGTATCTCCAAGAAAGAGTTGTGTTTGGTTGTTTGGTTTTTGATTTTTTTTTCCCGAAAAGTGTTTCAGTTCAGAAATTCCATAAGATACCAAGATGTTGGAGTATTCTGTCTGTAGCTGATTGAACAGCTATATTAGTACTTCAGGAAGGTATTTGTAGGCCCAGATTCTTACAGTTTTTGTGCATCTAAATGGTATTCATGCTCTAAGTGGGAAGTCAGATGTGAAAATACCCCTGGCCTATAGTTTTCACCATGGGTCTGGAAAGCACTTGGAAGTAAGTGAATGTAAAGTTCTACATTGGTTTAGTTGTACATTTACTGAAAATCCTTGTACAGTCCTTCTAGTTCCTTCCCTGCTAGTTAGTGTAGAGGCACGTAAGCAGATACACTAGCTGTGGCATGCCTGTATCTTAGGATATCTGTTTTGTTTTTTGGACAGACCTGAATGACTAAGAAAACCCTCTAGTAGATTTTGGTGGGCTCTTTCAATTCGATTTTTAACTCTTATCTATGTATGGGAAATCTGTGTGCGTAACAAGAATCTCTTCGGGTGTATGCACCCTCTCCACCAATTCATTTTCTCCTTCTAGATGAATGGGTTTTAAGTCTCCTCGTTTTTTTTTTTTTTTTGACTCTCCTTAGTATTTTGAATTTTTTGGCTCTGTGTTCATCACTGCTGTTTAGTTATGGCTTCTTGAATATGCAGGCCTTTTATATCTACTATCATTCCAAGGGATAGAAGAGGAAATGAGATATGTTTATCCTTCAAAAAACAAGCTGAGTTGCCTTTCATGTTCTGGAGATGCCTTGTGAGTTCCCATTAATGCTCTTGAAACATCCCCAGAAACAAAATATTACCTAGGAGTGACCTATCTGAGTTGTGCAGCTTTCCTTTACTTAATGCATCTAAACACATTTAAGTGAGCATCAGTGAATAACTACTGTGACAGCAAAGACAACTAACCCCAAAGACATTAAACCAGCCCAGTTTTTTTAAATTATAAGATTATGTGGTATGGCTGTCTGTAAATATAACAGCATCATATTAGTTTAAGGCAGTAGACTCGGAAAACAGCAAAGTTTTTGTCTGTAGTGCTTACAGTTGTAGAAATAAGCAGTTAAATCTACTTTTCAAGACAAGAAATGATCTAAGAGTCAAGAAAGCTGCATTTTCATAAGGATCTTTTAACTTAATTTTTCAATTAACTTCTGAAGTAGACATCAATCACCTGTAATAGGAATTGGCAGAAGAAAGGGTGTTAGAGTGAGAACTCATACACAGAGGATGTGTTTGTTGTCTCCAGGCGAAGCAGGTACTTCAGGGATGGGGACAGATACTGCACAGGTGACAATTGTGGCCTTTTCACACACCAGTGTGAAAATAGCCCTCCTTAATTTCAGGAAACCAACTGAGAAAGCATTCTCTGAGATACCAGGATATATATTCTGTACACACCTTTCTCCCTCCCCCCCCCTTCCCCCGGGCACAGAGGTGCTTATATTATTTATATGGGCCATCAGATATTGTAACACAATAGAG